GGGGTGTGAAAGAGAGCACAAATGCGCATGTGAAAAGGTATGGCAATCAAGCAACAAGATAAGCTGGCTTCTTAATTCAAGAAAATATCATAATTTAGTATTTCTTATTATTATTGAAAAGAAATTAGTAAATAGAGATGATCGAATTTTTCCTTGCTTCACTTTTTCTATAAATGTTATAAGCTGAGGGTCTTTCTTTTGTGCCGATCGGATCTGTTGGATTAATTGGGGTTCTGCCTTAATGTTGGCAATCATACTTACTACACTATTAATGGACGGAGTCGGATGCCAATCCACTATTTCCTCTAACAATCTCATTTCTTGGATCATTAGATGAGCTAAGACTCCCGTAGATTTTCTACTTAAAGCGTCGGCGACAACGTTCGCTTTTCCTGAATGATAATGGATTGTACAGTCATAATCTTTTAAGAAATCCATCCATTCTGAGAGAAGAGGTATTTCAAGCTCTTATGATCCGTATATATTTCGAATTGCTCACCATATAGATAATGCCTCCATATTTTCAAAGCGAATACTATTGCAGTCAGCTTCAAGTCATGAATTGGATATTTTTTCTCATATTCTTTCAACTGTTTGGATGCATATGCGACTACTTTTCCATATTGCATTAATACACAACCCAAGCTTTTATGTGAAGCATCATTATAAATCACAAATCCCTCACTCCCCTCAGGAATAGTTAAAATAGGCGCTGAAGTTAATCGAACTTTTAGTTCTTGAAAACTCTCCTCACATTCACTTGTCCACTCAAATATGACATTTTTCTGTGTCAATCGAGTCAATGGGGTTGCGATTCGAGAAAATCCTTCTACAAATTTTCTGTAATATCCTGCCAATCCCAAAAAGCTTCGAACTTCAGTCACATTACTTGGTTGTTTCCAATTAACAACGGTTTCAACCTTTGAAGGATCAACTGATAGACCTTCCTTTGATATGACATGCCCTAAAAATGTCACTTGTTCAAGCCAAAATTCACATTTACTAAGTTTGGCATACAATTTCTTCTCTCTTAATATTCGCAATACCATTCTTTCATGCTGCTCATGT